TGTGTGTGTGTGTGTGTGTGTAGGGGGGGGGTATCGTTATACATACATTATTTTCTTCTTCTTCTTCTTCTTCTTCCTCACCCCAAATCAGTACTTGCGTCCCAAAAATGTTGCTGTCTTAAAAGTTATTTTCTTTAAACTCGTTCGAATAGACGCACACGCACAGTTAACCTTATGAGGTTGAGTATCGGAATTGCTGAAATGGTACATTAAGACAAGTTGGACCCGAAAGGTCTTTAATGTTCCAATTCTGAAAAATTGTTATGCTTCCGGATTCGTGTTATCCTACCCTGTTAGAGAGGGTGCGGTGGCGGAGCGGTTAGTGTGCTCGTCTCCGGAGCAGAAAGTCCGGGTTCGAGCCTCAGTTTGGACAAGGATTTTTTTCGCCCCCCCCCCCTGCCCACCCAGCAGTAATGGGTATCTGACTTCGAGTTGGGGAAGTAAAGGCGGCGTGGAAAGGAACTGGCCACCCTACCACAATATGCCCAAGGCCCAGGAAGTTGTCTCACTAACGAGGCAATCACCAATGTCCGGATTGGATGCAGGAACAACTTTTTACCCTGTTAGCGGTTGGCACGACAACTGTCTAGATGTTGCATTATTGTTGTTTCTTTTTCTTTTTCTAATCTTGTGTAAATATCTGCTTGCTGGAACTGAAACTGTGTCCTCATACATCAAATCCTTCTTCGGGTAATACCAGCTTGTGGCTTAAATACTTTCTTTTGGTCTTGAAAATACTAATGTCTACATACATGTCGTATTTCAATTTGAGCTTGCAGCGTTAAAGAAGCAAGGAATAGGCTTCTGACTTGTAAGATTTGAATTTTCTTGGATTTACTTGGATCCAGAGCTTGAATCATAGCAGGCGGCACATGTTGTAAGATTTATTAAGGACAACATCTTCTGCTTAGCACGTCTCATCTCGCAGATACATTCGTTTAGCCTTCCTGGCTTTGACCATAGCGAGCAGTTAGAGGCTGATCATGAAGGTTTATGACACTGTAAGTACAAGGTACAAACCTGTTTGATGGTAAACAGGTATATAGCGCACATCCATGCTCAAGAGCATGCTCTATGCGCTTTACAACTATTATTACCCCACCACACTCAGAAACATACTCGGCTTCCGCGGAAGCATACAGTGCCAAGCTGCGGATTTCACGCGCTCAAACACTATCAAACTGACAAGATCGTTCACTGTCTATAGCCGGGTACCCATTTCCACCTGGGTGAAGTGAGG